CTGCACACGTGCAAGTGCAAGGGCAGTCGTGCACATGCTTGGCAGGACTGTGCATATGCAGAAAATATACATATGACATACTGTGCATGTAAAGAGCAGAATCTCCACAATCAAGCTGCTCCGTGCAGTTGGCATGAACCTTGTTTACATGGATGAACTTTGATAGTGTAGTTGTGGCCTTGCATATATTCATGTGTACATAAACAAAAGTTTTTATGTGACCTGACTGAGACCTACACACTGACTGCAGTAGGATAAGGACTCGTCTCATCAAGTTTGTTTAAGTTTGGAAACTGTTTCGTCATTGCACATAACTTTTGAGTCTTGCATCACACACAAACACACACACATTGTGTTATTAAGATCCTCACTGGGCTCTGAGCAGCCTTCAGTGTGTAGCCTGTTGGCCGCTGCTAATCACAGGTGGGCCTCTCTGACTCAGGAAGTTTTCACACCTGTTCTCATTAGTGTCAGATAGAGACTTTGCTGCAATCAGAGGTGTTCCTGTGCAACACAACAAGCTGCAACATCCAAACATGATGCAACCGTTGTTAAGTAGACCAACAAAGTAAACATCAGGTCTTTTTCTTGTTTAGCTGAGATCATTTCTGTCATGACCTTTGGACACATCTTACAAAAAAGTCAACTATCACCAATATTTTAACTAAAAAGCTAAATTTGTTATTTTTTCTTTGGATATAACACACAGCACAATGAAATGAGTGAAAACAACTGGAGGTAGTTCATACACACCAGTACACACCTTGCTTAACTTTTGTTTTCTGGTTTAATCTACAGTAGGGGACGTTTTGCTTTTCTGGAAAGTTCCAGCCTTCCATCAGTCCATCCATTTTCTTCCACTTGTCCTAGGTCGGTTGCAGAAGCAGCAAGGTGAAGCAGGTCATTCTAGACATCTGTCTCCTCAGCAATGCTTTCCAGTTCTTCCTGGGGAATCCAGAGGTGTCCCCAAGTCAGATGAGATATGTAATCCCAACAACAAGTTCTGGATCTGCCCCAGGGTCCTCTTGCAGGCCAAAGGCTCAGAAAACTTCCAAATGAAATCGCCAAGGAGATAACCAATGTCCAAACCACCTCAGCTGGTTCCTTTCAATGTGAAGCAGCAGAGCACCGCTCATGAGTAAAAGCTGATTCAGCTCTGTTCAGGCCACGTCATTCACATTCACATGGAGGTCTGATAAAAATGCCACAGACTAATGCAATGCAGCGAGTTGTGTGCCTCAAACATGTCCTCCTAGCCAGTTCATTACTAGCCACGTCACTAGCCGAAAAATCATGTGATTCAAAATGAATTACAGAATAGATGTCATGTCAGCATTGAATCAATTTGCGTGTGTACACATACGCATGTGTTAATCTTGTTCTGCTTTTAATGTCAGTATTTATCATTCATATTGCACAAACTGTAGTAAGGCTTTGTGTCATTGGGGGACTTAAGCTCTTGGTACAAAGTTACTCATTAAATCTTGAGGTGTAACTTTAAACAGTGTCTGATGTTCTCAGCCTATCTCTGAGGCTGAGCCCAGCCACCCGACAGGAAACTCATTCTGGCTGCTTGTAGCGACAGTTTCATTCTTTTGGTCACTACCCAAAGCTGATGACCATAGATGAGGGTTGGACTGTAGATCAGTTGGTAGATCTAATACAATTTAATGTTCACTTTACCACGATGGTCCGGTACAACACCCACAGTACTGCTGATGCTGCCCTATGCCGTCTGTCCAGCTCATGCTCCATTTTTCTGTCACTCGTGAACAAGATCCTGAGATACTTGAACTCCTTGCTTGGGGCAGCACCTCCCCCCAACCCAGAGGGATCAGTCCATCGGTTTCCAGCAGAAAACCATGGCCCCTCTGACTTGGAGGTGCTGACTGCATCAGAACTGCTTCATACTCAACTGAAAACCCCTCCAGTGAGCACTGAAGGCCACAATCAGATAAGTCCAACAGGACAGTATCATCCACAAAAAGCAAAGACATGATGCTGTGGTCTGCAAACTGGACACTCTCCTCACCCTGGTTGTACCTTGAGATTATGTCCATGAATATCACAAACAGGATCAGAGACATGGGACAGCCCTGGTGGAGTCCAACACCCACAGAAAACTTGTTTGACTTTGTGCCAAGAATGTAAACACAACTCTCATTTTGGTTGTACAGGGGGCAAATGGCTCGTAACCCCATACTCTCAGAGTACTCCCCACAGGGCCCCACAAGCCTTTTCCAAATCCACAAAACACATGTTGACAAGCTTGTTGAACTCCGATGACCCCCTTAGCAAATCTGCAAGGGTCCACTGCTCCACTACCAGGACAGTATCCACATTGGTCCTCTGAAATCCGAGGTTCTACCATTGGTTGGAACTTCCCTTCCAGCACCCTTGAGTAAACTTTCCTGGGGAGGCTGAGTAGTGTGATAACCCGATAATCGAAACACAACCTCTGGTCCCCATTTCGGGGGTCTGCCAAGATGGTGGCTCAAGCCTTTTCTGACAAAATGTCTAAAATTGTCAGGTTTCGTAATAAAACCTAATAAAACACATATGAGAAGCTTCATTCTCATACTCTCCCCCATTTCTGTCTTTCTTGTGTTGTCCCTGTCTTTATATATTGATTCCCAATCTCAGCAAGCTTCCGGTAAAGGTCCCCAGGGTTAGACACCCCCCATCCCATGGTTTACAAGCCTATTTGGGAATATGACTGAGAGTAATAAGACTAAGACCATACCAGCATAAACTTTGTCCGCATTAACAAGGTTCATGTCAGCTGTTGGGCGATCAGGACATGCTGATGAGAAGTGGTCTACTGGACCAAGATGTATAAACAAAGGATGAGAATATGGAATTGTTGGAATGCGACTACAAAAGCATGCCCAATGAGAAAGGCTAAATGTAATGCATGTGGGGCCTATGGATGGGTAGGACACCCACCTCCACACTGACCAGGAAACAGTCAACACCCAGATAAGATGATGTTTCAAATATGCTGACGACACTACTATCCTGGGACTCATCACGGGAGGAGACGAGGCGGGCAACAGGACTGTGGTCAAAAACACAATTGTTTACGGAGAAGACAATGACTTTCTAACCTTTATTTAACCAGGAAAAGATTTTAAAATGAGACTTCATTTTAAAGATAGACGAAACAAGGGAGATCATCGTTGACTTCAGGAAGAAGGCCCCACCGATGAGGTCCCTCTCCATCAAAGGGACTGATGTGGAGAAGGTGGACAACCATCAGTTCCTTGGCCTTGAACTAATAGCTAACTTGAGCTGGACTGGCCATACCAGTGCCCTGGTGCAGAAGGCCCAGAAGCGGCTCTATTTCATCAGACTGCTCAAGATAGCCCAGCTGTGCTGCCGACCCCTCACACTGGCCTACAGAGGGCTGGTAGAGAGCATCCTCACCACTAGCATCACTGTCTGGTATGGAAACACCACCCAGGCAGAGAGGAAGGCTCTCCAGAGGGTGGTGGAGTAGGATGCTCTCACACTTATGCACCTGCAGTCTATCTGGTGATTGGGCACTGGTTAAAGCCTCGCTCCACTCCAGTGCCAGACGACCGTCAACTCTCTGATGGTACTTTCGGCCGCTAGTTCTCGTGTGCTTTCTCTAGTGAGTTTTGATTGAAGCTAGTTTCTTGAGTAACATGTATTTCTCGTCATTGCTCTCCACTGCTCCTCACCAAGCCAGCCAGCACTCAGCCACACCTCAAGAGGTTTGGATTCCCAAGTACCGAATTTGTATTCCTCTCCAGCATGCAACCACGGAACCCTGGCTCCCCACCTTGGATCCCGGTGTCTCTCACTCCCAGCCCCTAAAATCAAACCTTTTGCTGTTTAACCAGTCTCCCTCTGCCTTTTTGGTCCAACTTCCACTAAAAGGCTTCTCAGCCATCACACCAGTCTCTCTGTTCTGGGTGAGGTAAATCCTTGTAACCAACATCACTGGAGTTTTTGGAATGGATCTTTGTCTTGTCCCTCCCATTGGACCAATTTGCCTATACCCTACAATGGGCTATTGCCCACAACAAAATAGCTGTAGGATCACAGGGCAACAGAAACCCTTCCACTGTCATAAGGTGGCAATTCTTTAGGGGAACACAGGTTACAAAATTGACCTGTTTCTGTTCCTGTGAGTTCTTCTGCATGAAGTTTAAGTACACCATCCCCACTGTCAAACATGGTGGTGGCAGCATCCTGATGTGAAGCATGGTGGTGGCAGCATCATGAGGTGAAACATGGTGGTGGCAGCATCATGATGTGAGGGATGGTGGTGGCAGCATCATGATGTGAGGGATGGTGGTGGCAGCATCATGAGGTGGGGACGCTTCTCAGTAGCAGGCCCTGGAAGGCTGCTAAAGGTAGAGGGTAAAATGAATGCAGCAAAGTCTAGATTAATCCTGGAGATCAATCTGATGTAGTCTGCAGGAGAACTGTGACCAAAGCTACACAGAAATGGTTTAAAGACAACAAGGTGAATGTTCTGGAGGCCGAGTCAGAGCCCAGACCTCAATCCAACTGAGAATTAAAGTCTGGACTTGAAAAAAGTTGTTTACTCACAATCCCTGTGTAACCTGACAGAGTTGAAGAGTTTTACTCAGTAAAATGGACTAACGTTGCATTCAAGGCTCATTGAGACCAACACAGAATCAGTGTTGTAACTGCAGCCAAAGGTCCATCAACTAATGACTGACTTGAAAGAGGTGAAGACTTGTGCAATCACTAATTTTACATTTTGTATTTTTAATTATTGTTTTATTGGTGGATGTTATAAGGCGGGTAATTAATCAGGAAGAGGTGATGAAGATGCTGATGAAGAGTAGGATGCACAGAGTGAGGCAATACTGAGTTATTCATGGGAGACAGAACAGAAGGGGAGGGTGGAGAACAATTTGAAAAGATAAGAGTTCTGTGATCCAGAGGTTTGGTCAGAAAGCTGCTGGAGCTCAGCGGCCTCTCTCCTCCTGCTCTCTGTGGTGATGGAGGGACTCTGCTTCCCACAACTCCTCAACTCCTCCTGCAGGACGCCAGATCCTCCTCGCTCTGGGACTGCCATCGTCTACGTCCTGCTGTACATCATCTCTGTGCTCACTGCAGCTCTCAACCTGCTGGTCGTCATCTCCATCTCCCACTTCAGGCAGACACGAGCGTCTCAGCACATTCTGATTCACTGTGACTTTGTTCTCTGATTATTGCACCCTGTCTGTTTGATGTTGAATGTGAATTTTGCCCGATTCTTGGTGCTTTTTTGACTGTTGCTGCTGCTGTTCACAGTGCAGATTCTCTCACTGCAGGCAGCTCCACACCCCCACCAACTTCCTCCTGCTCTCGCTGGCCGTCTCAGACTTTTTCGTGGGGTTCATGGTGATGCCAGTAGAAATCCTCCTCATGCAGACCTGCTGGATGCTGGGTGACCTCATGTGTGCTCTGTATTACCTGGTGCCCTTCATCGTCATCGCTGCCTCTGTGGGAAACATGGTGCTCATATCTGTGGACCGCTATGTGGCCATCTGCGACCCTCTGCACTACCCCACCAGAATCACGAAGAAAAGAATCAGAGTCTCTATATGTCTGTGCTGGCTCTATGCTGTGTTGATGAGCATTTTCATATTTTACAACCACCTGAAACAACCAGGCAGGTATAACTCTTGTCATGGGGAATGTCTGGTTGAAATTGCAGGGGATGTTGACATGTCTCTTTGCTTCATTATTCCCATTACTATCATTATTGTCCTGTATATGAGAATATTTCTGGTGGTGGTGTCTCTGGCTCGTGCCATGCGATCCCAGGTTCTGGCTGTCAAGGTAAAAAGTTCAAGGACTGTGACATCTTGGAAATCTGAGAGGAAAGCAGCCACGACTCTCAGTATTGTTGTTTTTGTGTTCTTGATGTGTTACTGCCCGTACTACTGTGTTGCTCTCACAGGCCACAAAATACAGATCGGTTCTTCAACTGAGGTGTTCATGATTTTTCTCATGTATTTAAACTCCTGTCTGAACCCTGTCATCTACGCTTTTTTCTACCCCTGGTTCAGGAAATGTCTCAGGCTCATTGTTGCACTTCATATACTGCAGCCTGGCTCCTGTGAGGCCAAAGTGATGTGAAGTTCCTGAAATGACAGTTTTTCTGTTTAGAGACAAATACATTTCTGAAGAAAAGTCACAGTCAGAAGATTAAATGTAGAGATTCTCACTTTTTCTTTGATTTTCTGCTTCAGTCACGGGCAGATGCTTTATTTAAACTTTAGGGTCGACACTTTAAGTCGAGGTGTTTGGAGAAAATGTGACAAAAACGATAATTATCCTGCATTCTAGTGGGTTTTTTGCATCAGTTTGTTCCTTTTCTGCATCATATTATAGTGAAAATGTCTCTATTACTGTAATGACACAAACATCAGAAAAACAAATGTAATGCATTCAGTCTCTCTTCATTCTGTCTGTCAAATATTTACTCTCCTGTCAATCAACTGTTCTAATGTAATATTATCTCTGCTGAATCAACAGGCAGGATATTCTTATCAGTTGTTTTTTCTGTCTTTCTGAGACACTAAACTCTCTTTAAACGTGGACGTGACACCATTTCGATGTTGAATGAATTCATTCTTATTCACTCATAAAACCCTGAACTGTTACAGATCTGACGTGTTTCAGCAAAAAGGTTCGCTTTGATTAAAAACAAGCGCATTCAGAATCACGCGTACCTGTCTTTTATAGGAGGGGAAAAAACTGGAGGTATTGTTGCTTGTTCAAAACAAAAATCTCTTAAACCGTTTTTACTGGGGCAAATATTGAGAGAGGCCTATCATCAGCGTCTCCACTGAAATCTGTGCCTACACGACACATGAAAGCTCAAAGCTAAACACATTTTGATGTGGGGCCATGGTAGCTGTGCCCCAACATTAGCATTTCACCTGAAGAAAAATTAGCAACCGTGATTGACATTTATTTTAAACAGGTCTAGTGTTTTGGTGCAGGGTCTTCATTAACTGCAAAGCACAATATGTCCCTCTGGGGTGTCTCCACCCACAAATCACTGATATGTCTCCTTCATGACAATACAGAAGCAGATATTGGACTTTTTACACTCCTCAATATATTTAGTTACTTAGGTTACGTTGCAGGTTTAGTTTAACAATACAAAATGTGATCAATAATAACATATGAAGGAACGTAAATTAAGATAATTCACAAGCAGCAGATATACACGAGTAAAACCACCTTAAAAAATGATTACATCAGTATTATAATTCAATATTTTGAACATAGATTCTTCTGAAATAAACCCTTCTGCATGATCAGCACTTGAACTTTTGGTGTTTGATGACTTTAATTACTTCTGATTAGTAATGCAAAATACAATCGACAACTAAATTATGATGTCTTATTGTTGGAAAGTCCCACAGTTATGTCCTATTATAGGAATATTCCCGTGGAGAGGGAGAAATTAGGCCTGTGTCATGAGAGTAAATAAGAATAAATCAGCTGTGAGAGTAAATTTCATCCTTTCACTAAGGCCACAGGAGTCCACGTGAACCGCTATGTCCACGTCCAAGTGTAACACAAAATGTGTGTCTGCACAGCGACTGGGGCACACATGGAAAAGGTAGACGTGACCGACTGCATGTAAAGGACGGAATCTTTTTTCATGTGTATACAGACCAACTACTGTGTGATATTTATTAAAACTGAAAGCACAAACATGGTTGCTATGTGACCTGACCGAGACCTACACACTGACTGCAGTAGGATAAAGACTCGTCTCATCAGTGTTTGTTGCACTGTCCCCTGTGCTGATCTGCATTGTCCTAATTCCCCCCAGTCAGATCATCTTAAAGAGTGGCTACGGATATAGATTTAGAAGTCAATCAAGCCCCTTTCTGTACATGGATGACATCAATTCCAGGAGTATACGATACATCGAGACATCCCTGATCCACCTTTCCAGGATCATAATGATGTCATACAAATAGGATAACTGTGGTGGAAATATTGGCAAAGAGAACAAAGGTGATCAGAACTGAAGAGGTGCAGTTACCAGAAGGCAGGATAGTAGACATGCAGGACATCTACAAGTGTGGGTGCCCCACGGGCCAATGGAAGCCATGATATGGATGCAAGGAGGTCAGTCCATCCCAAATATCCCCAAAGGAGAAGACACATCCTGAGAAACCAGCTAAATGGGAGGAATAAGATCCAAGCCATCTATGTATATGCTCTACTCATCACATATCCAGCTGGATAGTGAGCTGGCCACTGGAGGAGCTGGGTGCTTCTGGATGCCCCAAGACATTGAGGAAAACTCCTCACAATGCAATGGATGGTTCCACCCAATGTCCAGCACCCTGAGCAGCAAAAAGATTTGGGGAAAAAATTAGTGACTGTCAGAACCATGATCCAGGATGAAACAAGAAACATCAAAGAACACATCAGAAAGATGCTCTCTAGGAAGACCTCCTCAAAGAGTTCCTCAGGCAGTGGACGACAGATATGGGGGGACAGCAAACCTCTCCATGGAACGTACTATTAAGAAATCTTATCAGTGGCCGGAAAAGGCCGACCTGAAGGACAGTGCAGAGGCTCTGATTATGGCAGCACCAGAACAGGCCCTGAGCAACCGATCCATAGAGGAAAGGGTCTATCACAGCAGACAGGACCCCAGATGCAGGATATGCAAAGAGGCTCTTGAGACAGTACAGTTCCTTGAAGCAGGATGCATGATGGAAGCTGCAACAGCATAAACCCAGAAACACAGCGAAGTGGCCGGAATAGTGTACTGGAACATCTGGGCTGAGTATGGACGAGAAGTCCCCAGGTCCTGGTGGGACACACCAACGAAAGTGGCTGAGAACAACAGGGCTAACATTCTATGGGACATAAATTTACATCTTTTGTGTGTCTAATCATTTGCAATTGTACCACTTCTCAACAATTGTACTGCTTCTAAGTTTAAAAAAAAAAAAAAAGAAACTCAATGCAACTAAAGTTAATCCACCTGTGAACACTAACTACACAAGTTCAATCACCTGTGATCACTGAAACTGATTACACCTGTGTTTTCCAATCAGCCTAACTGCACGAACATAGTTAGAACATGAGCTGTGAACAGCAGAACTTTCTCAGGTTTAGACCCACATTCAAGTGTGGAAAAAAGCAGCTGGACTTCTGGCTTTGGCTCTTGACGTTGCACCTCTCATCCAAGGAGCTTCTTTAGTTCTGTCTCTTAAAGAAGGTGAAACATTCTCAAGAAGCAAAAAGAGAAGTCCAGTTGCTTTGTGCTAAAGCTCTTTAGACTCTTCACAAGTAATTTACAAATGTCCACAAAGAGAAATTTACAAAACAGGGACATGATACCTAGTGCCTGTGAGAAACAGGTGGATTATGTCACTTTAGACTAGTTTCCATTTACTGCCATGTTTGCCACAAATCATTCAAAATTTGTTTGGTTCACATTCACATAGAAACAGAGGAGGGACCTTTGTTGCTAAGGAAGAGCAAACTCGAGGAGGTAGATAAACCATTTGGCACTGAGGTTTGGTCAGAAAGCTGACAGGGCTCAGCGGCTCTCTCTTTGACGATGGAGGAAACTGAACTGTGCTTTCCACAACTCAACACGTCCTGCAGGAAACTGAAACGTCCTCACTCGCACACTGTGCTCATTTACATTGTGCTGTCCTCCATCGCTCTGCTGACGGCGACCCTCAACCTGCTTGTCATCATCTCCATCTCACACTTCAGGTAGCAGGACATTTGGAATGTGCAATGCTTTGATCTGGATTGTCTGCTGGAATAATAATTGACACTGATGTATGTGTTGCTCTCTTGCATCTCCAGGCAGCTCCACACTCCCAGTAACATCCTCCTGCTCTCTCTGGCCGTCTCTGATTTCTTCGTGGGTCTCCTCATGTTTTCTCAGGTTATGCTCATCGAGGGCTGCTGGTACCTCAGTGACCTCATATGTGTCCTGTATTATGTTTCCAACGTGATCGCCTCCTCTGCTGCGATAGGAACCATGGTGCTTATTTCAGTTGACCGCTACGTGGCTATTTGCTACCCTCTACATTACTCCACCAAAGTCACTCCAAAAAAAGCCAGAATCTGCGTTTCACTGTGTTGGATCTTTTCTCTCATATTCGTTGGCATGCTGCTGAGAGACAACCTCAGACAACCAGGCAGGTATAACTCCTGCGCTGGGGAGTGTGTGGTTGCTGCTAACTTCATCGAACAAGTTGCAGATCTTATTTTGACCTTCGTTATTCCCATCACGGTCATCATAGTCCTGTACGTGAGAGTGTTTGTGGTGGCTTTGTCTCAGGCTCGCGCCATGCGCTCTCATATCGCGGCCGTCTCTCTGCAGTGTCCGGGGAAAGCAGCTGTGAGGAAATCTGAGCTGAAAGCAGCCACGACTCTTGGCGTTGTTGTCGTTGCGTTTCTGTTGTGTCTCTGCCCGTATTTCTGCGTTACACTCACAGCAGACGACACTTTGTTCAACACGTCGTCTGCTGCCATTGTAATATGTCTGTTCTACTTCAACTCCTGTCTAAACCCCATCATCTATGCATTTTTCTATCCCTGGTGCAGAAAATCTTTTAAACTTATTCTTACACTCCAGATACTGAAGCCTGGCTCCTGTAATGCCAACGTACTGCAAATATGAATATGACCGGACTGTTTTGGCTGCTCCCCTGTTTCTCATTAGCTGCTAAAACTTTCAGCTTGCCTAACTTATTATTTTCTTCTCCCACAGGACGAAGGTTTAAGTCGCTTTTCTGAGTGTGTGCTGTTGTTGCCTTGCTTTAACCTCCCTGCTCCTCAATCATAGGAATAATTCAGTTGCTATTGTAATTGCACAAATGTAAAACAAAGCACACATTGGAACAAGAATACCATGAACACTGAATTTATTTTTGAAAAGTTAGAAAGGAGGTCACACATAAATAAATGAGATATAATGAATCTGTCTGATGACTGTAGTTATTTTGGGTTATGCCATCTCAAATGATCGGGGGACTTATGCTCAATAATCTCAGATTTGCTNTAAAACTGAAAGCACAAACATGGTTGCTATGTGACCTGACCGAGACCTACACACTGACTGCAGTAGGATAAAGACTCGTCTCATCAGTGTTTGTTTTAGTTTGGAAGCTGTTCAGTCATTGCACATAACTTTTGAGTCTTGCATCACACACACAAACACACACACATTGTGTTATTAACATCGTCACTGGGCTCTGAGCAGCCCTCTGTGTGTAGCCTGTTCGCTGCTGCCAATCACGGGTGGTCCTCTCTGACTCAGGAAGTTTTCACACCTGTTCTCATTAGTGTCAGATAGTGACGTTGCTGCAATCAGAGGTGTTACTGTGCAACAAAACAAGCTGCAACATCCAAACACGTTGCTCCAAACATGTTGCAACTGTTGTTAAGTTGAGCAACCAGCTGAGCTCATCTCTGGCTTGACCCTTAGACACATCTGATGCAATCTGAACTTCTACTCACAGGCTCACAGTTGTGTCTGCTCAGTTGAGAGGTTACACAAGAGAATCAGAGACCAATACAATAAATGGGCCATTGTCCAAAGATCCATCAAAAGTGTATTCCAGGCAGCAAGGGACCTAGAACAAAAGGGCAGATCCACCTAGAACTGAGACTGAGCAGTAACTGAAGGTCATTTAGGGGAACGAGGCATCACACGGCACCTTTGCCAAGTGGCTGGTGGACCTCAGAGTAGACCACAGCAACCTCCCAGAGGATGAACCAGTCACTATTACCAAGGCAGAGATCCAACAATGAGTCTGAGGTATGAAGAGCTGGGCAGCACCAGGACCTGACATGTTCCATTCCTACTGACGGAAGAAGCAAACAAACTCTCCATTATTGCCTAGCAGCACAAACGAGTGAGCTTCTAGTAGCCAGCACTCAACCGGCTTGGCATACGGGCCATGAAAATTCCAATCATAAAGGATCCCCACAAAAAGATAACGGTACTTCCAAGGTGCAACACCTTGGAAGTAGCCGATAACTTCCATTTCCACAGCATGGAACTTCCTCTCAGGCATCATGGCATCTATTTTTAGTAGGCATAAATCAACATATAAGCAAAGGTCAGATGGGCATAGGAAACAACACTAAGGGTCAAAGCACCAGCTATTGGTTGACACAGCAGTCACCCAAGATTGTAAGACTAGGCAGACAAACCTAAGCACCACCTGGATTGACTAGAAGAAAGCCTGCGACTCAATGCTCCACACATGGACATTGAAGTGCCTGGCACTATACAAAACTAACAGAACACTGATAACATTCACCAACATCTCAATGCAGCTGTAGAAAACAACACTGGAAGCCAACTCCAAGGCCATCAGACAAGTCACTGTCAAGTCCAGCATGTACCAATGTGATGCACTGCCCCCTGTGCTGATCTGCATTGTCCTAATTCCCCCCAGTCAGATCATCTTAAAGAGTGGCTACGGATATAGATTTAGAAGTCAATCAAGCCCCTTT